TTTTTGTAGATTCATATAACAAAGTGATCGACCCCCGTCTGAAAGACGCGCGGGAACGTGATTTATAGAGAAAGGGGGAGGGGGTAATTTTTCGCTATTAAATCAAAACTGGTCGTACAAAAATTATACAAAAAATTATGAAGATTATTTTTACTACCAGCTACCTAAAGAAAGTTTTTTACCAAAATTAAACGACAGGTTTTTTTCACAAAAAAAATTTGAATTTAAAAAATACGCAATTTTCAAGGCTTAGATAATTCATAGTTTTCCAGTTTAAGGTCTTTAAAAATTGTTTTGATGATACGTATATCAAAAAGATGACTATGTTTTTGAGTTAAATGGTTAAAGGAATAAGCCAATGAAATTTGACATTAATATCTAACCTGGCTTTTTTGAAAATCAAGGTTTATGTCGTTCATTGATTAAAAATGTTCTCTCCTTATAAACAACTAAAGGGGGGTAACTTTTGGAAGTTCCTGTCCAAAAACCACTCGAACGATTTTGTCCAAAATGTGCATACATGCAGTAGATATTGTCACGTACTAAATATACAAAAATAACGAAAATTAAACGACAGGAATTTTTTGGGGTACGTGTGTTGTACATCCTTAAATGCATATATATTTTAAAGTCGAGATTCTTATATTTATTACATCCATGGCACCTGCTCCCACACCTCCAATGTTTTTGGAGATCCGTATTTGTTCTGTTCATACTTTGTATAATTTTATGGACTGTTGATCTTGAATACTGTTTGTTATCTCCATATGTTTCATCTGAATATGTTTCCAAGACATTTAAAACATAATTAGGGGACATCAACCCTCTGATAACAGATAGAACTTGCCAAGCCAATAAATAATAATATTACTCACAGTTTACCAAAGTGACACCGTGACGGAAAAACGGGAAAATTGACAAAAGTAGAATGTTTGTATGACACATTCAAATTTTGTGCAGTTCTTAAAGATTTCAAAAAATCCAAAAAAAAAGAATCAACATTAAGGAAGAAAAATAAAAGTTAAAAAGAATCTCTGTATTACACAACACAAAAATATTGTCTTCCTTTTTATTGTACGCATGCGCTGAAAAGTTGCAAAATTTACCATGGTTTATGTCGGATGATACTAGTATTGTACTCAAACAGTTGCGCGAAAATTATTGTTAAATAAATTGACATCGCATTTATTTATCTAAAAGAAGTGCGGATTCAAATAACAAAATCATTTATAGACACATCTGTAATGAAACTGAAATTCAGTTGTAAATGTTTGATATCATTGCACTTACTTTGACACATTTCTCCTGCAAAATTTGCGTTGCATCCTCTGATACAGGTTCCATTTCCATGATCACAAATCTCATTCAAACAGTGACCGCTACATCTCTCGGTACAGTTAACTCCCCAGAATCCAGGCTCACATCCACGATTACAGAATCCGCTATATTTGTCGCAAGATCCCATATAACAATTCGAGGGACAGTTGTATAGACAGGTTTGTCCCCAGTGCCCTCCTCCACACGTGTCACATACACCATTTGAGTAACAGGTATCCCCGAAACAGTCAGTACGACATCCTATAAGACAAAGCATTAAAATAAGGTGTTTATATACTATTAAAACATTAGGGATATTTGACTTACAAGGAAAATGAAATGCAGATCATGAGGTCAGGAAAGAAAAAATGAGAGAAAAATATTGAGAAAACATCTGTCAATTTATTCAAAACCCTGTGTACAGTAAGAAATGACGGATTCTCCAGAATGAGGGTCGACACCAACACAGGGTCATAAGGCATTGTGGAACAGAATCTATAGTGGTTAAAATTCTCTCGGTTGGCCAGACAAGCTCGGGTTCAGTGCGTGAGATAAACGAGACGAATATTTATGAAGGTTATTCATCGTGTTGCAATGCTGCAGTAAGTGTTTGGTTACTGGCAGGAGGACTTCGACGTTCGCGTAGCTATTGTCAAAGCATGTCCCAGACATTCTTTATGGAAGAATGTTCCGGACTGAGTGCGAACCTTTGTAATGAAGTGATATTCTGCTGTTGGAGTAAGATGCTGGACCTATTGCATCAGACATTATCATCTTGAAAAATGAAACAGCGTACATTACGACTTGCAAACGGCACATCTGGGGGGCAAAGACGTTCTCCCGGTAGTACTGCCCTGTGACACATCCAGCAACAACATATTCAAGTCTCTTGTATCGGCAACAGTGATGCCTTCCACACCATTACAGATGCACTCCCGTACTAACTATGTCTAATAACTTTAATGTCATAAAAACGTTCGTTACGTCAGTACAAAACCCTAAGGCGTCTGTCCAAAAATTCCACAGTGAACCTCGATTTATTTAAAAACATTACATGGTTCTATTATCGCAGTGTTGATGGTGACGACACCATTGTAGACTGGTCATATCCTGACGATCCCTCATAACATAGAATGACACGAAACATCGGGTTTGTATAAGTTGTATAAGTGAAATCTATGCAGTCGATTCCTGATGGTCTGACCACTCACTAGTAAATCAGTGTTCATTTGAAGATGAGACCTTATCTGCTTTGTTGTTACCAGTCCATTTCTAAAAGCAATAGTGCAGATAAATTTGTCCTATGCCTGCGTTGTTGCCCTTGGTCGACCACATCCTGTATTTGACGGCGCATAGTCTCGGTTTTATTGACGACTTCAACAACTGTTTATCTCATTCTTTCTCTTCAGAATCTTTTTTTAGAATGGCTTTAACTTTTAAATTCAGAAGCATGCACATTTATGGCACAATACCCTTGATCATCAGTAGCATCCCGTGCAGATCGTGAGAGTGTGACTCTCCGAATTTGAAGGGCTGGATGATATGCCATTTATGACGTGTTTATTGCTACATAAACTCTCCATCAGTATCCCCATTGTCCTCTTATTCTTCAATTATATAACAGTATAAATTAATGCAATATTGAAAATTTGAACTTTGTTTATGGTTTAAAATGTTATATGTCATGAATATGATTTTAAGGTATAGTTGTTTTTTATTTCAATGTTTAGGAAGCCAAAAATGTATTTTGTACACAAACTTCAAGGTACCCCGATCCTCAGCCAAGAAGGATAACTCTTTAATTTGTATTTCGATTCGAAAAGTATCAAAATTAATCTTGCAAATTAAATTTTTTCATACACCAATTTTCATTTTATACCTCTCAATGAACTTCAAAGTTCTTCAGAGTTCTCAAAAAGGTCATATTAAAAGTAGAAAATTTTACTTCATGAAAGTATTTTAATTAATACATATTTAAAGAAAATGAGGTTCTTATAATCTAACCGTAGATAACAATGTTAATTAACATGATATAAAATTAGAAGTGATTTATAGTGTTTTGCAATGATAGGAAAATCTAAATACGCTATGGTTGTAAAATGATGGAAGTAATTAAAGAAACTAAAGTACCTAATATGCGCTAAAATTCTGCAATTTCTTCAAAGGTCTGGATTCATTTCCTTTTTTTCTAATATATATTTGTTGATCAAATTTTAATTTAAAAATGCATAGCAAGACTAGTACTAATGTTTTTTTTGGCATTTCTTTAAAAAAAATATCTGAGATTTACTAATTTTCCCTAAATTTAAGAATTTACTTTAAAGATGAAGTTTGAAGAATTACCGTGGGTAAAAACACATTTGTATGAGCTTTTTCAATTAGTCAATGCCTGATTTCAGAACCCAAGGATTGGAGCACCTTAAGAATAAACTTTCAGAATGTGAGGTGAGGACCCATTCACACGGGGAAGAAATATCGGTATATTATGATATTAGAAGAATGATTTATTTTTCCTACTTTGGTATATGTATGTTTATGCTATTTCATAGACCAAAAAATAAGTCTTTGTAATTTTTTGGAAATTGTGGAGATCTTACCTAAGGTACGAGGGCTGTTCAAAAAATAATGTCCTGAACGGTATGACATACAATACAGAAATCATATGACATTAAGCTTGACTTTTTCGCATCATTGAATCTTTACTGAATTTAATTTAATTTATAACAAATAGTTTCACTGTGAGAAGCTGGAAAAACAAGGGCTATTCGAGACACTGCATTAAAATGAATGGTAAAGAATCAGTAAACTATATATAGAGTGAAATTAAACGCTTTATTAAAGTTGCTGTTAAACTCGTTCAGAATCCGAAAGAAATATTCACTGAAATATGTAAAATTTACGGCAACCAATGTCTGTTTTACAGACAAATAAGCAGGTGGATTTCAATGATGAAAATTATATAATGGGCATCAAAAATGGGCCGTGTCCTGGCCAACAATAAAATATTACAACTAATGTTTTATTTGCCAAATTTCAACAAATAATCACTGAAGATCTATGATTGACTTTAATTAAGACAAATCGCGAATTTGAATGACATCATATCGGTAGTAGTTAACACTTTTTAAAGAAACGTTTGACAGTAAAAAAGCTTAGTACTCAAAGGTCACCATATGTTTTGAAAAATGAGTGAAAACGACAGCGTTAAAGAATATCTAAACAGTTATTTTAAAATATAAGTAATTGAAGTTATTAACGTTTGTTTGAAATTCAAACAGATAGTGAAATTTGAATTTATTGCTTAAAACTCTCAAAACGAAATTTACAATAAGGTGTACTTGACAAAAACAGCAAAGGTATGAGAAAAGCAAGGAATTGCAAGAGCACAAAGACAGATTTATATGCAATTTTCTTAATTTTAGTGGTCTTGATGTTCAAATTCGTATTCGGGGAGGCAATTTAATTTCTGGAGGTGTCTGGAAAGCAATTTTTTTGCAAAAATATCAAAAGCTTAATTAGAGGAAGGAAACAGAATCAGGAATCCACTACATTAAATGTCTTTATGACAGTGTCCAAACCCGCACGCCCTGAATATTAAAGAGGTTTTTGGGATAAACAGAAATTTTTTTTTTTTTCAAATTAACAATATTCGCCAGATCTTTTGCCTTTTGACTTGTTTCATTTTCCAAACTTGAAAAAAAAACACCTTCCAGAAGGAAGAAACGAGTCGAGGAAATCATAAGATCTGCCATCTTCCAGTATACTAAGGGTCATACCCCAAAATGAGTACTAAAACAATAAGAAATTGGATTAAAAAATATGGACATGTGTTATAATTAATAGAGAATATTAAGTTAAATCATTAAGACTAAATCATTGAAAAACGTCTTTTGCTTCTTTCCGAGCACCGAGGACATTTTTATTGAACAGCCCTCGTATTCTTTAATTTAGATGAGAAATCAACATAAATTTTCTTATTCATAAATGAGATTTAACTCTACACCTTCAAATTTGGCACACCAATTTGGGCATTTTGCTTGCTTTGTTTGTCCATTTTCTTTGCCAAAAACAGTAATATTTTTGTGCCCTAATTCCTTAACATATTCTGGTTCGATTTTCTGCACAATTAACCAATAAATAATAAATGCTGAGTCTTTTCATCATCAGTTTCAAAAGTAAACTTTGCGAGAACGTGTAACAAACTGGGCATCTGATCCCACCTTTGGAATATATATATATATATATATATATATATATATATATATATATATATATATATATATATATATATATATATATATATATATATATATGATTTTTTTTAAATGAGTTTTTTTTTCATTATGCCATTTTTTTCTTCAAGCATTTTATGATCTTACCAAAAATATCTATTTCACATATTTCTAGGATAGACCCATTCTCCAGTGGGGGATTTTCGAGAGCATTATATGTGGTTTCTAGGATGACATAACGTGATGTCTGTCTACAAGGAATGTCAATCACAGCAGGGGGCGTGGCTGGGTATGTAGTGTTGTCCTTGTAGCATCGCACCCTCTGTGGTGTTAATGTGGTGGAGACAGCTGCTGATGTGTTTGATACATCCAAGTAAAACTGACGAAATCGGTATGGTTTCCAGTTAATTTCTAAGAAGATGTATACAAAATAGACATTATACCATTTGATATATCGGTCCCTTTAACATGTTTAATCCATACAATTAAAATAATCAACTGAGGGAACGACATAAACTTCTTAAATTATCCTCGTCAATTTGTTTCATTATTTTTATATTTTCCTTGGAATGTGTTCAAAACAGTAAAAAAAACCCAGACATTTATTTATTATAAAATCATTATGGATTCGTTGCCAGAAGTTAATAAAATACTTATTTACTAATACATGCTATACGAGGTCATTCAAAAATATATAGACTTCTAAAATTTAGTTATTCAGTTGTATATAGCACACTATAATTCAAACGTTCAAATTGAATTCACTCTCAGGTAGTTCTCTTAATTGCTTAATTAAATGTGTATAATTGTAACGGATTTATAAACCTTAAAAAGAAAGTTACGCTGTTCTCAGAAATTAAGTTTTTTAAACTTTCACAACGTTGTTTTCGACTTTATCATATTGCTGAATTCTTCTTGATGACGGAACATGTTGGTTTTTATATTAAACAACCCAACTTCTATTTAATCATATGATTTATAAATGGAGAAAACAAAAAGTAATCAAGCTTTAAAATCAATTTAAACAATACCAATCTAGAGCGGAGTAAATACGGACCTCTAAAATCATAGGATCACTAGCCATGAAGGAGTAAACATCTGTCGATCGGTAATACACGTCCAATAATTCATTATAAATGTACATTTCAATATATTCGTATGTTGATTTTAATTTTAGTCAAATATGATGAAAAGCGACGTTGTCAACGAATTTTAAAAAAGTCAGTATATCTATTTTCATAGAGATTTTAACATGTTTAAACAGTTAGTTTTGTAAGTTTCATGGAATTCAATGTCAATAAATTTTCAATAAAAGTATAGAGAACGAATGAATTTTTTGCATACAATATCAACAATGATTATATAAAAAAAAAGACACGTTTATTTCTTAGAACGTTCGTGATATAATGTTGATAGGCATTTTTAAGTGAAATGTTTGAATGGCTACATTGAAAGTGGATGTGTGTAGATTTATGCAATCTAGAGTTCTTAAAAGAGGTCATTAAAATCATGTAAAAAGTTACATCTCAGAGAAATTAAATTTCAAAATTAAATCATGATTAATTACATAATTAGATCATAATCATCATTGGAGCGTTGGTCATAATAGATTTATCTATATACGTACCATTCCTGTAATAAATTGTCACAGAGTTTACTCTGAAGGGTCTCCTCAGGTCAACCTGAATCCACGCTATTGTTCTGTTAGCCGCAGTGTGTGAGCACTCTAAAAATGTCTGAATGTAATTCCTATCAACAGCTTTTGTTGCAGAAAGACGTCCTCTGTCGGAACTTTGTGATGCAATTATACCTGGTTTTCTGCACAAGTTTTCTAAAAATGGATATATTGGTGTAAAAATAAATGTCACACAATATAAATGTAGTTCATTGTGGACTTTTGCGGAGACGATGACTTTTACTGTTGACACTTGGCTTCGCCATTTAAACATGTAATGTATGGAGGTACAGAATTGATCATAGATAAAAAAAACTTTCTAGTGGTCATAGGTATGGTGTTAGGGGCATTAGTATGTGAACGGGGCGGTATTTGAGGGTCATATTCTTCATGGGCAACTAAGGCCGTTGGCCTGCTGTTCAATCCATGTTCATTGTATACTTCTTTGTATATTATGAATAAAATACTTCTTAAACTAAATTAACTATTAAACATATGTGCTGCATTTCAGCCCGCTATTTTCGTGTAATTAAATGCTGAATTTAATACTTTTATTGGTCAAGAGCTTCCGTATATTGTCCAAGTGTAAAAGTAAGCTGTCGACTGTAAAAGTCGGTGCTCTTCGCAAAAGTCAGGTAATAAGCATATTCATGAAATTAAATTGAAATGTAAAAACACTACAGCTGTTTTCAAACTTAGTAGCAAAACTTCGCTTCTAAAGGTCGAATAACCACAGAAAAGTGAACATTTATTCCTCATTCCCGCCTTCATTTTCCGCATTAATAATTTGGCACATTTTCAGAGTATTCCTCATAGTAATTGATCAGATTGATTAATAATACTATAACCATGGGGTGATATATCAATATTCGTTAATTAGATCTCTTAATTTAATAGGTGTAAAATTATTTTTAATGAAAATAAATTTTTAAATGTAACCGAGTCGAATTTCCTCTGTGAAGAACTATAAAATTATAGTAATTTATGAATTGATATGAATTAAATTTGCACCAGATACAATTAACAATAATGCCTTTTTTCATATTTAAAAAAAAATTGTTCTGCATATAAATGGCGAAACAAAACTATCGTTTGCAGTCCTTTTGTAGTCATTGTTAGATGAATACATGTATGTACATGCTAATGTTCTAGATTTTGTGACAGTAATGCTGACTAACGCATTCTACATTAAACATCAAGAGAGTAAGAGGCATTTTGTGCCCATTAACAGCTTGCCATTAAGCTTAAAGTTTTCTGTTTTAACTTGCAATAAATCAAACATTGCTCCTTGTAGTCAACTTTGTAAATCTAGGAAAATGTACAGTAATTATCCAGGGATATAAAGACAGTTAAAATATCAATTAAAGAGGCGAAAGGGCTATATCGGTCACCTGCGTATAATACAACGTTAACGCTGAAAAGGATACCAAAATTAACTGATAGATGAAGTAATGTTGCACACGAATTTCAAGAATCTGGTAAAAAAATATCAGTGCTTATTGTAACGAGCTAGACCCGAGTGATCTCCATGGAATCATACTTGGTTTTCCCAAGTTTTACAGGGATGATAATGAATGTAAAATATGCAAATACTATAGACACTTGCCTATAACGTAAGGTATTCAATATATTCAGATATGTTTTGTCACTTGCTTAGTGCTACACTTAAGTACACACAGACTTGGGTATAAAACTTGGCTATTTCCCTCTCTCACGTATTACAATAAGTCTCATTGCTCTTTGTGATTCTTTGTTCAATTTGATAAAATATAAAACAACTGTTTCCAGTGTCCAGGCCACCATGACTATATCATAACAAAAATTGCAGTAAAAATAAGAAGATAACATATGTAATGGATTTGCATTAGTTGGCTCAGCGAAGATTAGCTTAGCAGAGATAACACGTGCGGGCGAGAACAGATGAAAGCAATTAAAGAGACGAACCAATAAAAGTTGAACTTTAACCAGGACGGTTCTAAGAAATGAATCATTGGAATGCAGTTTTTCTTTTTTATCAGAAGATGTATTTGGTTAGGAGGAAGGAGCGTCCAATAACATTTGAGTGACCAGGGGTCAGTTGTACGAATAAATTAAATACACCAAGTGAAATTAAAAGATTTTGCAAGAGACAGGAAGTAATTTTTAAAACGCATTAGTAAACTAAGAGTGTTGAAGGATAGAGAAATGATAGTTAAAAATTCAAATTTGGAGTTAAAGTAATTAATGGAAATTTTGAAGGCGATCCGAATATGGAGATGAAAAACGGAGTAAGAGTTGAGGTATAAAATGAGCGGACGACGGACATACGCCAGGCAGAGCTGGATTGTGTCTGTCTCTGCTTCATTTTATACAGGTAAGATTATTTGGTAGACTTGCGCGATTTTGTAAAATTATTAAGTTTTCAGATTGTTTATTTTATTTTCAGGTCTAAATAGTTTACATTGTAACACAATAATATTTATCATAATGTTTAGTATTGTGTGTAAAATTATTTATTGTAATTATAAAATAAACGGATTGTTTCTTTAAATAAAGACAAGAGCTGGATTGTGTCTGTCTCTGTTTCATTTTATACAGTTCTGGTCAGGGAAGGTCCTCAGGGCAAAAGGAATTGCATATCGCAACATCAAAGAAAGATCTAATATAATACAAAAGCGAAATTGAATTATTCCACTTGGTGTGTCCTCTCACTAAAGGTATCACACCGGTAATTGACCAATCAAAATGAACTTAGTCAAATGTAGGTCCATATATATAAAATATTTTTTCTTTCCTTTTGAGACGTTTTTCTATTTTCTTCCATGCCATTTTTACAACTTTGGTACCTGTGCCTAGTAAATTTTATGTACTTTGTGAATAAATAAAGGTTTTTGACAGGAACTATTTTTTTCATGGCATAGGAGGCTACTTCCTGTAGTGCACTCGAGGTGTTTATAAACACAGTGAAAACACGTGGATTTGAGGGTAGCCGTGTTTGCAGATGGAAAAAGTCCGAAAATGCCGTGTGGGTACCCTGTTTTTTGGTGTCAGCTAATGTGACAGGTAATGTTTAACACCTTTTGCTAAATATTTTTTCATGTAAACAAATACCCGATTTTTAACGATTTTTTATTCTATATAGAATTATATAGTGAAAACAATTACCGGTGTGATACCTTGAAGGTGATTATGAAAAATCATTTTAATCCTTATTAAAGACATTTTTCATTTTTAAAAGGCATATTTCAACAAAATATGTGATTTTATTAACTTTTTGTTTGAAAACACTCAATTTTAAAATTAGAATTAGAATTTACATTTTTTTTTCCACAGATTTCTGTGTAAAAATTAATAATAGGTTATTTTTTACACTCAACACTTTAAAATATGACTAAAAAGGTAGCATTATGCATCTAAAATGTGGAGAGAAGTCAGAGAATATTGTTTTTTCATTTTATATGACTTAACATTATTTGCACCAGCTGACCGCAGTCAATAATAGTGTCTACAGACTTTGCGGTAAAGGGTGTTAAAGCTGATTTTTCAAGAATAGACTAATTCTAGGTTTGCGAATGAATTTTCAGCACAAGCGACAACTGCGATAAAATGTAAACAAGTAAAATATGTTCTCACAGAATGATAATTTCTACAGACACATGATTTATTTTAATTTATTCACACCTCCAGTGATACATATATTACTGCATTGGAAGAATAGAAATAATGAAATGAGTCAGATCTGTCTAATAAACCTTATGCATAAGCTACAGAATTAAAATTCATCAAGAATTCTTCACAGGAAGGAAGGTAACATTAAAACCAAAAAATCTTGAAATACTGTCAGGATCTGCATGATAATACCTATTCTGAGTTCTAACCATGCATCATATACATGTAGTGCAGAATGTCACTTGGTATGGCATGCCTCTTGTGGTTCTCAGGACTTCATTCATGCTTTCGCAGCTGACATTCATGTTTTTTTTCAGTTTGTCGGAGACTGTTTTTTGTTATATTTTCATTTATATGTAGATGTTGACTGTCATTTTTGAATTAATTCTCAATCAGTGATGCTTATATGAGCATGATCTATTAAGTATATCAATGTACTGAAATATTAATAAATTGCAAATTTAACTGATGAAAAAATTTGGCATATTTACATAATTAAAATATCAGAATAACTATAATTCAGCTAATAAGGTGCACCTTTCTTCTCAGATTACTTCCTATAAATTTGATCAGCAGTTTTTGTACACCCACCCACCTCAAAGAATCATGGAGGATGTCCTGAATCTGGTCTCTGTGATGTATTTTGTCACATAGAAAAGTGTTCAAACTCATAAAAATGTTTAATATTTATATTTTAAAATTTAAATGTTTATTTTTTATTGTAAATTTGTTGAAACAAAAAGATATAATCTAGCATAAATCATGGAAATTCATTAAACACCTTTGGAATTCCTGAGTAAATCCATGAAAAGAGAATAATTATGCATGTTAAACTGAAATTTCATGGCTAATTTGTGTCTTAAGAGAAAGCCAGTTACATAAATCACAACAATAAATTACATCTGAATTGTTGTCTCCAGTTTCTTATCATCAAAGCCAGTTTAATGGAGTGTGGGAGCTGTGAAGAACCTCCCTAGATGCTGATATGATTTTGACTGCCCTGAGTTACAACACAGCATTTAGATAAACTTCTGCACAGCAGCTTGTAGACAAATACCTAGGCTTTATTTGGAACATAAATTGACCAGATACAGTTTTCATTATCAACCCAGTATTTAACAATTTCTGTATTTTTGTTCATTCCTTTAAGGGGAAAATGCAACTTTGTTATGTAATAATTACATAATGGCCTTAGACTTGTAAACTCTTTTCTGTTTGTGATGAAGAACAAAGCATATACTCTCCACAGATAAAAAATTGGTTGCTAAGCTTATTCTTTTAATGATGAAATTCTGCTTCAAAAGATGCACAAAAAACTGCTTCTAGAGTGCTCTGTGTGTTATTCTTGACTGCTCTGGAGTAAGGGAGATAAATGCTTCATATCTTCAGAAATAAGGGGATTTAGATCACCAGACTTAAGGATGTTGGGGACAATTATTTAAGGAATCTCAGGTGCAAAAATGGAAAAAATCGAACACCTCCAAAGGTCCTTCAAATAAAAACGATCCCGGGTGTAAATGAACAAACTTATGATCGGCCAAACGTCATTTGGGACTCTGCCTCCTCAAACTTTGATGGTTGAGGTGTGATATACAGTTATCATAGGCGGGAGTCCTCAATGAGGTTGACCCGGTTATAATAACTATTTTACCAGTGGCAATAACTTAGATCAATACAGTGTACACTATGTTTATTTATAACTTGCTGAATGCATAATCTTTATGGCAATCTTTTATATTGCATTCCTGCCAAGAATCTGACTTGAGCACGCTTTGCCCTTTTTAACCAAGCATTAATTTTATTTTGTTTCTTTATATAAAACATTCTTTCTTGTATTCCCATTCAATCGAATATCCTGTTAATTAAACTACATGTGTATACAGTGAAAACTGTCTAATCTGACATAAGCTTGGGGATGAATTTTATGTAGGATTAGCCAGGGTGTCAGATAAGACAGCGTACCAATGCATGGAAAGTAATAAAATGGGAACAAAAGGATGACTGCACTTAACGCTATGTTTTGGATCTTTTCGGTCGCTTCTCACCCCTACTAATGTGTTCGGAACCTTTTATTTTTCGGTGTTCTGCAAATTAAAAAACCCGGTGAGTTCAGAGTAGCTCTGACAGTGACTTTGGTGAGAGTTAGCGAGACTTCAGCGAGATAGGGTAAATTATTTACGGAAATGTGGCTAGGAAGTGACTAGCACGTGGAGACATGGAAAACAGAAAAGTTATGTTGCGTTTTAGTTTTCACAACCTTATAATAGCTTTCTGAGGAAATGTAATTCAATCGATCTTTTTTGAATTCATTTAAGTTTAAATTATATGTATCTCTTTGATACAATTTTCTGCTGTCATGAATTAAAATTTCTTTTTGGACAAATATTTTGCATGGGAACCGGGACTATATTTTTTGGCGTCAGATTAGCAAATGAGGCACCAATGTGACTTTAACTGACAAATCAGATGAATGAGAATTGCATTATGGGTTACTTTACGAATACTACAGGAATTTTACGTTTGATAAATTCCTTTATTGTACTATCGGGGAATACGATTGTCAGGTGGATTCCCTGACTAACACACGTGATCACGAGTATAGTTATGTAAAAATGTTTTGTCCATTTAAATGCAGAGGAGAAGCTGCTCGTTTTCCTTACCCTTGAAGTGCTAGTATTCTGAACTTGACACTAACTACGTATACATTTTATTAAACATATTTATCTCTACTTAACAACAACTTCAAAATGCCCGAGATATTTTCCATAGTTTCTAATGTTTGCATTTTGTTTATTAGAACATTTTTTTATTTTGCACTCCATTGACATGATCATAGATTGACCTGAACCACGTGCTCGAAGTAACATGTAAACATGCACCGGTATTTGGCGTTAACGTACTCAATCAACAATTGGTCAGTTGCCCGTGGTAAGATCCTCTGTGCGCATTAATAACAATAGCCATATAAGGCAAATAAAGGTTTGTCAGTATAAACTGTTAAACAGGTCGAGACCACTACCTTATATGGAAGGCAATTTTCAACACGTGAGGATATCTTCGTCACACCCATTCGCCAATCAAGTGAATGAGTCCGAAAGCATGACACTCTACTACGTGTTTACGATTTAACGGCGAAACGTTGTTTTCGTCGGTTTCTGCATAATATTCAATTCGTCACCGGAAAAACCGTAGAGCTTCTTTGTCACTTTTTAAGTCCGAAATTGAAAGATTACATTCCCAAGACATTGCTCCATGCTCACATTTAATATTGGAGTTGTTTTATATAAGTAATAGTTGCTTCAAAAGTTCGAATAATGTGCAAACGCTTTGATGTTTGGATGTACATTAAAATCTTTTTTATAATATTTAGGGGTTAAATAATAAAAGCGAAACTTGTACTGCTGTCTAAAACTATGTACACGTATATCACGTGAAAAAAACTCAATGCTTTATCGACACGATAGCACCTACAAGTACGTCTCTTCGAACAATAGTTTAGGCCGATGTATTATAAGTTGATGTAAGGCTTCATAAAGTAAATTTTGTAAATGTGAGCATAGAAATGAAAGATTATACATCATTTTATATATTTCTTCCATAAATCTCAAAAAAGAATTGAAAATAAGTTTCCAAGGGACAATTCAAGTTGACCTTTATTTTCAATACAGCTGAGTACTTGTAGTAGCCCACAATGCATTGCGACTCATTCATCAGTGGGTAAAGTAAACAGATAGCTAATTTACATGCAAATTTATCCTGACGTCAGAAAATCTAGTGGTCTCGACGGGCGACTTCGATTCATACCCGAGTATTAACTCTTGGTTGACGTCACATGACCGGATGTTTACACAAACATGTTGTTTTCAAGCGAACTCATATGAGTTTGAAGGGTAGCGAAAATAAAATAAATTTCCTCTATGGGTTTTAAAAGGCGGTCGAATAGGTCCATTTTGACATCATCTGTTGAGTTATTTTTTTCTATAGCTTTTGCTGCGGTTGAAATGTTTTTCTTTTTCAGCTCTGAACTTTTTTGGTTTCGAATTTGAATTTATATCTCTGCTGTTATCGGGCAGTAAGCCTGAAAAATCTAATCAAATAAACATAGTTACATGTATTCATATAAATTATAAAGCGTTCATATAGAAAGTGCGTTTCGAAATTTGCTTTTAAGGATAAGCAATGCTAAATATAATATTTAGTAAAAAAAATAATTCCTATGTTCGGGTTTTTCTTTCGACGACGCCATATCGAAACTCTAGCAATCCTACTGTATGGCTGGGTTAGCTTGGGTAGAGTTCATAAGGTCATATGACGTATTTTGAGTAGTAACTATGGTCGTTCGATTGAAACTCAATAACTCGAGTACGTACTCGGGTACGAATCGAAGTCGCCCGACCTGTTTAACGTGTTCGAACACAGTGTCCTATTTAGCTGAAAACATGCTACTACCTATAAGTCAAGTGACGGAATTTCGTATTCACAAAATTACCTTAGGAAATATATCACGTGGTGAATTATGATATTCAACGCGTCACGGCCCTTGGTTACAATAGAGAGAAGAATATAAGAAGATGCATTTTTTCTTTTAAACCATGTGCGCATGTTTGTCTATTAATCTCCTTTCAATACAACATTACTAATGCAAATATACAATTACTGTTTAAAGGTAAACAATAGACAAACATGTGCTACTATGTATAAAGTCAGTAAAAAAGTGGGCGTCTTCATTATCGTACGGAGATTGAAGAACTTATGAAGACCCCCGATTATGATGAATCAGATTCATACATCGTAGATACATACTTTTATTTAATGTAATTAAGTAAAGTTGTATTTTAGATATTGATCATTCCTGCAATTAAAAGAAAAATGTTTGTTTTTTAATTTTATTTTGACGCAAATTTCGCATATCCTTAAGTGCAGTCATCCTTTATTGTCGGAATTCACAGTGAGGCGAATTACACAGGTGTCGGATTAAACAGGGACAGAGGAGAACATTTTCAAATTATAAATGCATTTTTGTTTATAATAGAGCCTCACCAAAGCGCAAAAAAACCAAGGGCCATGAAATTCACAATTTTGGAAGAGGCACCCTTTCTCATCATAGCTAGATATAGTTTCTTTAATTAATACTAATTCAAGGGATAGAAAAGATTTTCAAAGCATTAATCTAATTTCAGTAAAATTATCATAATTTAGCCCCCTCTCACAGGGAATCCCTGACCCAGGGGCCATGAAATTCAAAATTTTGGAAGAGGCTCTTAATTCATAAGCTTAATACCAAGGAACAGAGGAAAAGATTCTCAAAGAATTAATGCATTTTTACTATATAAACAAATAAGCCCCACCCTAACACCAGTACCCCTGACCCGGGGCCATGAAATTTACAATTTTGCATAGGAGACCCTCGATAAATATAACTATACATTAAGTTGTTTCTTTGATACCTAGGAGCAGAGATGATTTTCAAAGAAATGATGCATTTCACAATATAAGCTATTGGCCCCGCCCTATACTAAAACCCCTGACCTTTTGGCCACGAATTTCACGATTTTCGTAGAAGACTCAATGCTTATTACAATTATGCCAGCAGTTTGACTGCTTGATGTCCATGAAAAATGAGAATATTTTTAAAGGTTGCATTCATTTAAGTGTATTCCCCACCCGTCAGGCCATAGGGGGCAGGGACCACGAAATTCACAATTTTTGTTTCCCTTTACCCATAGATACTTTTTGCCAAATTTGTTTGAAATTGGTTCAGTGGTTTCAGAGAAGAAGCTAAAAATGTTCAAAAGATCACGATCGATGAATGACGTACGACGAACGACGATGGATGAAAACGAGGTAGCAATAGGTCATCGGAGTGACTCAGGAAACCTGAAAATATACTTACCTTTGATATAAAACAGAAAAATCTAAATACCGTATAGCGGGTTGTTTAACGGGGCTTAATTTTGGCTTATTTTGGCGCTTTGATGGTAGCCCTCTAAAATTTTAATGGCTAAAATAGTCAGTGCTTTTCATATGCAAAGAACTGAAACTCCGTGTCCGTTTAAATAAATGGCGCAAAAATTAATGGCTTTTGAGCAGGTAAAACGCCAAATTTTACACCCGCCAAGAAAACCCTCGGTATTACTTCGTAGAAGCCTATAGATAACTTTCAATTCTAAGCCAAATATATATTTCTCATATAAATATTAATTTCATCTATCATATATGTCGCAATAAAGAATGAAACTGAAAAGACATGTAAAAGAAATAATAAAGTAATCAAACCATAACCGACACTTATTCCAAACAGGAGAAGAAAACATGCCCAAAACTTGGTAGCCATAACGGGAGAGGAAGTAAAATGAACTGTGTATTCGTTTTGTAAAAAGATATAGACCGCAGAAGGATAAAACGTACGCTGAACTAGGACCTGGGGTCCCCCGCAAATAGTTCGTCATTTTGCGTAGTAATAAAACATTCTAGGAACTCTCCAGGCATTAAAGGCACAAAAGTAAATTCATCGATATCATCAATACGGAGACCTCAGGTCACCTTATATATTAATTGAATTTTATATGATAGACAATTTTCTTTGTCTTACTCCAAAATAATCATATTAATAACTTTATAAAGATCAACTTTCTAATATATATATTAGCAGAAACGTGAAAATAATAAAGGGTGACCAGAGGTAACCTAATATTTTAAATCAATAGGGGGACCAAAGATCACCTTACATTGTACATCAGTAGGGGGAACAGAGGCCACCTTATATTTAACATCATTAGGGAGACCAGTTGTCACCTTATATTGTACATCATCAGAGGGATCATAGGCCCCCTTATATTTTAAATCAATAGGGGTCCAAAGGTAATCTTTTATTGCACATAATAGGGGGACCTGGGGATACCTTATATCGTGCATCATTTGGGGGACCAGAGGTCACCCTATAATGTACATCAGTAGGGGGACTACAGGTAACCAAATATTGTACTGTACATAAGTAGAGGGACCAGAGGACACCTTATATTGTAAATCAGTAGGGAGACCAGAGGGCACGTTATATTGTGCATCAGTGGGGGGGGGGGGGAGGAGGACACCTTATACTATACATCAGTAGGGGGACCAGTGGACACCTTATATTGTACATCAATACGGGGACCAGAGGTCACCCGATATTTTACATTAGTACGGGGACTCTTGGTAACCTAATATTGTACTGTACATCAGTAGAGAGACCAGAGGTCACCTTTAATTTTATTGTACATCAGTAGTAAAACCAGAAGTCATCGTATATTGTACATCAGCAGAATGACCAGAGGTCACTTTATATTGTACGGGGACTAGTGGTCACCTAATATTGTACTGTACATCTGTAGCGGGACCAGAGGACACCTTATATTTTACATTAGTAGTAGGACCAGAGGTCATCTTATATTGTACATCAACAGAAGGACCTGAGGTCCTCTCTTGTATATCAGTAGGGGGACCAGAGGACACCTTATACTATACATCTGTAGGGGGACCAGAGGACACCTTATATTGTACATCAGTGGGGGAAAAAGGGTCACCTTTTGTTGTACATCAGTAGGGGGACCAGAGGGCACCTTATTTTGTACATCATTACGGGGACCAGAGGTCACCCGATATTTTACATTAATACGGGGGCTAGTGGTCACCTTATATTGTAGTGTACATCAGTAGAGGGGCCAGAGGTCACCTTATATTGTACATCAGTAGGGGGACCAGAGGACACCTTATATTGTACATCAGTAGGGGGACCAGAGGTAATCTAATATTGTACATCAGTAGGAGAAACAGAGTTCACCTTATATTGAACATCAGTAGGGGGAAGCAGAGGTCACATTATATTTTACATAAGTAGGGGGGAACCAGAGGTCACCTTAGATTAAACATCAGAAGGATGACCAGAAGTTACATATGTAGATCAGCAGGGGTACCTTAGGTCACCTTTTATTGTACATCAGTAGGGGGACCAGAGGTCACCTTATATTTAACATCAGAAGGATGACCAGACGTCATTTTATATTGTACGGGGAATAGTGGTCACCTAATATTGTACTGTATTTCTGTAGCGGGACCAGAGGACACCTTATATTTAACACCAGAAAGGGGACTAGAGGTCACCTTATATTGTACATCAGTAAGGGGATGAGAGGTCGCTTTATATTGATCATCAGCAGTTGTACCAGGGTTCACCTTATATTGTACATCAGTAGGGTAAACAGAGGACACTTTATATTGTACATCAGTACGGGGGACCAGAGGTCACCTTATACTGTACATCAGTAGTGGACATCAGTAGGAGAGCAGAGGTCACATTTAATTCTACATATGTAGGGGGACCAGAGGTCACCTTATATTGTATATCAATTTTTCATGAGTACGGAGACTAGTGGTACCTAATATTTTACTGTACATCAGTAGAGGGATCAGAGGTCACCTTATATTGAACATCAATAAGGGGACCAGAGGACACCTAATATTGTACATCAGTAGTAGGAAAAGAGGTCATCTTATATTGTTCATCAGCAGAAGGACCAGAGGTCAGCTTATATTGTACATAAGTAGGGGGACCAGAGGTCACCTTATATTATACATAAGTAAGGGGACCAGAGGTCACCTTAAATTTAACATCAGTAGGATGACCAGAGGTCACCTTATATTGTACATCAGCAGGGGGACCAAGGGTCACCTTATATTGTACATCAGAAGGGGGACCAGATGTCACCTTATATTGTGCATCGGTAGGGGGACCAGAGGCTACCTTATATTGTTCATCAGTAAAGGGGACCAGAGATCACCTTATATCGAACAACAGAAGGGGGACCAGAGGTCACCTTATATCTAACATCAGAAGGGGGACCAGAGGCCACTTTATATTGTATATCAGCAGGGGGACCAGGGGTCACCTTATATTTAAAATCAGAAGGGGGACCAGAGGTCATCTTATATTGTACATCAGTAGGGGGACCAGAGACCACTTTATATTGTACATCAAAAGGGGGGACCAGGGGTCACCTTATATTTAACACCAGAAGGGGGACTAGAGGTCACTTTATATTGTACATCAGTAAGGGAATGAGAGGTCTCTTCATATTGATCATCAGCAGGGATACCAGGGGTCACCTAATATTGTACATTGGCAGGGGGACCAGAGGTCACCTTACATTGTACATTAAAAGGGGACCAGAGGACATCTTATATTGTACATCAGTAGGGGGGACCTGAGGCCATTTTTTTTATTGTATATCAGTAGGGGGACCAGAGGTCACCTTTAATTGAACATCAGAAGGGGACCAGAGGTCACCTTATATTGCTTATCAGTAAGGTGATCAAAGGACACTTTATATTGTACATCAGTAGGGGGACCAGGGGTCACCTTATATTGTGAATCAGTAAGACCAGAGGCCACCATATATTGTACACCAGTAGGGGGACCAGAGGTCACCTCATATTGTACATCAGTAGGGGACCAGTAAGGGGACCAGAGGTCACCTTATATTATACATCAGTAGGAGGACTAATGGAGTTTTATGAAGAGACTTACTTTTACATTAGACAGCTGACTTTAACATTTTAAGTAATGGAGTAAGTCATTGTTTAAATTGTAAAAGTCAGTAGTCGATTGTCAAAATAAGTCTTTTCATAAAACTCCAGTGGTCACCTCATATTGTACATCAGAAGGGGGACCAGATGTCACCTTGTATTGTACATCAGTAAGGGGATCAGAGGCCACTTTATATTGCACATCAGTAGGGGAACCAAAGGTCACCGTATATTGTACATCAGTAGGGGGACCAGAGGACACCTCATATTGTACATCAGTAGGGGGACCAGAGGACATCTGATATTGTACATCGGTAGGTCACCTTATACAAGGGTCGTTTAATAATGTCTTCGGTGCTCGGAAAGAAACAAAAGTCGCTTTTCAATAATTTAGTTGTAATGATTTAACCTAAAATTATCTTTTCATTAAAATACATGTAAGTAACATTTTTATCCAATTTCTGATTCATTTTTAATTGTTTTTCGTACTCATTTTCTAGTATGAATCTTTGTATACTGTATTATTGCAGATCCTATGATTTCCTGGACTTGTTTCTTCCTTCTGAAAGGCGTTTTCTCAAGTTTGGCAAATGGAACAAGTCAAAAGGCGAAAGATTTGGCGAATATTGTTAACGTGAATGTACATTAACTTTTGTATATCCCCAAGACTCCTTTACTCTTCAGGGCTTTCGGGTTTGGACGCTGTCATGGAAAAAAATCTTCTAATGTGGATTCCTTATTCTCATTAACCTTTTGATTTTTTGCCAAAAAATTGCATTCTAGATTCCTCCAGAAATTAAACTGCATCCCCGAATACGAATTTGAACAAAAAGACCACTAATATTTAAGAAAATTGCCTATACATTTGTAAATCTATCCTTGTGCTCTTGCAATTCTCTGCTCCTCTTAGACCTTTGCTTTTTTTGTCAAGTACATCTTATTGTAAATTTGTTTTGAAGGTTTTAAGCAATAGATTCAAGTTTCATTATCTGTTTGAAATTCAAATAAACGTGGATAACTACAATTACTGATATTTTTAATAATTGTTCATATATTCTTATATGCAGTCGTTTTCACTCATTTTTTTAGGGTTACTTTTGAGTAATAAGCTTTTTTTCTGTCAAACGTTTTTTAAACAGTGTGAACTACTCCCGAAATGATGTATATTTTGAAAGAGGGCGTATAAGGCTTGTACAATCCTCCGCTCTGAGACAAATGTTTTCCAATTTTCAAAGAAGCTATTTTAATATTTTTCTAAAATCATGTTCTCAGTAATGTCATCTTCAAAATATTTTATCATTTTATTTTTCTGAACGATTTATCATTTGATAATATTTATTTCAAAGTTGACAGTTAAGGAAATTTAGTAGAAAATGGGTTTAATAGAGCTATAAAAGACGAATTTTGAACATGAATGGGTCAAATCTCCATTCTTCGTGAACGCTGAAATGATGGAAATGTTACAAACACGTCCATTTAAATCATACTGAAAGACGTCAAAAGTGCATATACTTCGTAGCGTACCGGTAGTGGTTAAAGCGGTTGGTCTTGGACTAAACCTGAGCTATGAGGAGAGTTCGAATCATACATGAAGCTTTTTCTTTTTCTTTTTTTTTTTTGTTTTCAAATGTCATAAAAACATGAATAAAAAATAAATTATTCATAAATTATTAAAGCAATGAAATAAAGAATTTGATATGTAAAAGATGATATAAACCATAAAATTTTGAAAAAAATACTACTTTTCGAATTGAGAAATATGTTTTTTCAGAGCGCGGAATTGTCCTTGCCTTGTACGCC